AAAAAAGTTTAAAATTACTACACGCGCACACACACACACACACACACACACACACACACACTCCCCCCCATACCTTCTATATCTCATGAAGGGATACAGCTTACACAGTCATGGAAATCAGCTGATGCAGATTTGCTATCAATACTTTTGAGCTGATGGAAAACATCTACTAAAGCACTCAGCTATGTGTGCCTCACCTGCCTTCTTGGCCAACATCTCTCTTTCCTCTCGCAGGAGGCTGTGTTCAGGTTTGTAGCCACAGCCCACTCCAGTCAGACTACAGCATGCTTCGTCAAACTGCTTTTTATGCTGAGGTCGAACGAACTGGTAAAATTCTTTCATTAAAGAAAGAGGAAAGAAGGTCACACATGAAGTTTATACATCCCAACACACAGAAAATTCCAGACACCTGCTGCTGGCAGGACTTGCAGTTCAGACAGCAGGTAAAATTTTCAATCTGATTTAGGAGCCTAAGAGACAAGGTGGGTGAGGTAACATTTTTTGTTGGACCAACTTCTGTTGGCGAGAGAGAGAAGTTTTGGAGCCGTATAAAGCACGCAAGTTCCATTCTCAAAAGTGACTGAGGCATTTAAGAGACCAAGTCCATTTACTCTCAATGAAATCCAGGCTCTTAAGTGCTTAACTCACTTTTGAAATGGGACTTTGGTGCTTTTGAAAATTTTACCCTATGTCCTCCCCATCCCACCCCCGGGGCACAGGCTTAGAGCTGTTACTGCCTCCTGGTGACAGATTGGGGAGGGAGAGCCCAGACTTGGGCTCTTCTCCCGCTCTCAGTCCCTCAACAGGAGGAGGCAGCAGGGATAGGGGGCTCGGGCTGTCCTCTCTCACTCCCAATCCCTCACCAAGAGACAGCAACTGGACTCCCAGCTGTCAGCCCCAGCAGTGGGACTCACAGCAAGAGCTCTGCCTCCTGAGGCCTGGTGCTGACGGCCCAGATGCCCAGCTGACGCCTCCTGGTGAGGGACTGGGGGGGAAAGGAGCCCCCCGCAGGCTGACAGCAGGACTAGAGCAGAAATGTGAAATAATCACAGTTGTGAAACTAATAAGAATGTCAATTTCACTGCTGGCTTCCTGCTGTGAAACTGAGCCCCCCAAAGGCTCACAGCTGGGGCTGCCAGCACTGGGGGGCTAACAGCTGTAATCCCACACCAGGCTGACCACTTGGGCTGTAGGGGTAGGGGTCGCAGTTGTGATCCCCGTGCCTACAGCTGAGGCGGTCAGCCCCAGGGATGCTGGGCTCCAGCTGTCAGTGTCCCACAATGCCTCTCTTCAGTCAGTGTAAGCTCTCCTGGTGAGGACATGGACTGCTGACAGAAGGAGCATGTATGAACATGAACCATGGTTTTAATTACTGCTGTGACTGTACGTTGACTTAAGTTGACTTAATTTTATAGAGTGTACAAGCCCTAAGGCAGAGAGAAGGGTTAAGTCACATGCCCATGATCATACAAGTCATCAGCAGACCGGGGAATAACACCCAGGTTTCCAACGCATAGTCCTGTGCCCTCCATTGCCTCCCTGACTAATCATGATGTTAGGAAAGTAAAAGAGCACAGGTTGGAGACTCCCTTAGCCCAGTCATTTGTTCCCCTATTTCTAATTTAAAAAACAGTGAAGTGTGGGGGACATGAATGAACTATTAGTTAGGAAATCAAAAGATGAAAAACCTGAGATTTACTGTAACACTAACTATTCCTATTGTGTTAGAAAAGGTTATTGGTATTTGGAGAAAAGCGAGTGTAAGTAACAACAACAGTCAGAATCAGCTGATAAGTGTTTTGGATTTAAAAAAATATTTTGTCCAAAGGAAAAGAACCACAAAAACAAATAACTCCCTAGAGCATATGAGGAAGATGTAAACATTGTCAACTCAGAAATGTAAAGCACCGGAATTTTTAAAAAATCCCCAGAAGACCTCTCTTGCGTCTTCCCAGAGCAGATTCTGCCTCTCATCATCATCTCAAACACACATTCCTTCTAAACCACTAATACTTGCTTTCAATTGACCTAAACTAGTAACTTCTCTTATCCACAGCAACAGCTAAGAAATCAAAGTTTCATAATGCTTAAAAATATATTGATACCAACTCTCATTTTGAGACATTAATAACAATTCAGGGCATGTTCTAGAACAATACAACATCATTTCTCCTGGGCTGCCAGGACTCATGGGCTTCATCCTTGTGCTATGCTGCAGGTGTGTTACGATGCTATTATAATGTATGATATATCAACATGGGGCACTGCATATTAAAACCAAATGCCAGTACAGGATTGATTGATATTCAGCAGTGAGCCATGCTGGTCAGCTCACCAGCCTTCCTTTCCAGCTCCCTTTTCACAGTAGCTGCCCATATCATTTACTCACTACGCAACCCGTCAGGCCCCTCCCATTCCTATTTTAAAAACTGATAAATAAGATCAGTAAAAAAAAACCATGGAAATTCCAACACAAAAAACTTCAACATAGAATTAAGGTAGCTCAGGTCCTCTTCCTATCAACACAATCATCAAAAGTCAAGAAAATCATGTTAAACCAAAATTACTATCTATGCTAACCTCACAGTAACCTGCTTTACACATCCAATCACCATCATTACCCAAAAAGAGACAGTCTCCACAGCTCTAAAGTAACGTCACTTTCAGTTCTAACATCAAACCATCCCAATGCACACGAATCAATTTCTCACAATCACAGTCTTAATTCCACCATAGATTTGGATTAAGATAATATTTCCTATCGATATTAAAGTCTATACATGTATTAGCTGTGCATGAAAAGCATAAATTCCCTAACAATGTACAACTGTTTATTTTATTTCATGTAACCATAAGGCCTGTTTTAATATAGAAGCTAACTTTTAATGGCTAGGTTGATTAATGTTTGCACAGCGTTTTGAAAATGTAAAGCCCTAAATAAATGCTAAGGATTATTAAAGAATTTTTCTGCATTGTACTTGACATAGAAGTGCTTGCTTTGGGACAAGATGCCAAGGAAAAAAGCTGTGTCCCATAGGATACATTCAGGGAGATCACCATACCTCGCAGCAGGATATGCTTTTTCTGGTCCTCCATGAAAAGAGAGCTCATTTGCGATAACATGGCATTGAAGTCATCGGTCCTCTTGTATTGCTGCAGAGCCTTTGAGAAGAGATCATAGTGTAGCTGGCTCAGGGCTTGCTTCACTGTTGCAATGAACAATGTGGCTCTGGTCTTCTTTGGCTCAGCAGGGTCTGCTACTTTGTCAGCTTGCTGCAAAAAGGCCACCCAGGTTTTTTGGTAAATGGGATGCATTGGAGAGATTAATTGAAATGGGAATAAGTAATCCCATGAACTTTGTTTCAACACACAGCACCTCAATTAGATGCAAAGCAGTCATCAATAAAGTTGACATCAGTTAACTACACAGCACAGAATCATAATGTAATGCTTCTTAGTGACTAACATCCTGTTAACTCCATTATAAACAATGGCAGTTGCTCAGAAACGTGCATTACCAATGCACCACCTCCTGATAAACAAGTTTCAGTGCTGCAGGAGGGAACACAAACCCAATTGTGTCCAGCTGCTGGAAATTCACAGCTCCCTGGAAGAATTTAGCCATCCTCTGTGTATGTACAGCATGGGCTCCATGAAACAGATGGAGTTGAGCTCATCTTGGTTACTTTAGGGGACACACACACACGCACGCCAGCCAAAAACAGTTATTTTGGAAGATGAAGTTCTCCCAAAGGCCCCTCACTGAATACTGGGATGATCCTTCTCTGCCCTCCTCCAGTGCTCCAGCCAGGGAGCAGGGTCGGGGGCCGCTCCACACAGCTCCCGGAAGCAGTGGCATGGCCCCACTCCGGCTCCTATGCATAGGGGAAGCCCGGGCGCTCCACTCTGCACACTGCCCGCGCAGCTCCCATTGGCCAAGAACCATGTCCAATGGGAGCTGCGGGGTAGTGCCTGCGGACGGGGCAGTGCGCAGAGCCACCTGGTTGTGCCTCCCTGTAGGAGCCAGAGAAGGGACACGCTGCTGCTTCCGGGAGCCACTTGAGGTAAGCGCTGCCCAGAGCCTGCCCCCGCTCTCCAACCCCCTGCCCCAGCCCTGATCCTCCTCCCCCTCTCCAAACCCCCCGATCCCAGCCTGGAGCCCCCTCCCGCACCCCAAACCCCTCACCCTCCCGAGGAGACCCCTCCCACACCCTGAACTCATTTCTGGCCCCACCCCAGAGCCCGCACCCCCAACCAGAGCCCTCACCCCCTCCCACACTCCAACCCTAATTTTGTGAGCATTCATGGCCCGCCATACAATTTCTATTCCCAGATGTGGCCCTCCGGCCAAAAGTTTTCCCACGCCTGGTTTAATGCTTGGCCACTGTAACTCCAGAATGGAAGCAGGAATTTCAGGAGACAGGCTTGTACAGTGCAACACACAGTAGGGATTTTCCTAAGGATATAACTTATATTGCTGTTATTCTATGATAGCAGCTGTGTTAACTGGGTGTGAATCATAGGGTGCTCATAAATCAGAACAGAATGCCTGTGGTATATTTTAATACACCCCTTCCTCATAAGCCTTTTCCTATGGGTATATCCCTGAGGGCAACAAATGGTGACTCCTTGGGGAATTCCAATACCTGTGTGTGCAACCATTTCCCAGACTCTTATTATATAGGCTCCCAGGACACTCATCCCTGTAACATCTGGGGTCATTCACATAAATTTAGATGTTCACCTGTTCCCTCCCTCAAGGAAGAGGAACAAAAACTCTTATCCCCTTCCTTACAGATTACTGCTGCCTGCTTTAGAGGAACTGAACTCTGGGTGGATTGCTTTCTAGGGCAGGCAGGCAGCCAGGTCCATTGCACAACTCTGTTCTTAGGAGAAGGCCTGCCAAAAGAGATGAGTCTTGAATCACACCTTGAGGGCTACAAGACTGATGCAGCATGATCTAGGTGCCAGTGAATTCCACCGCTGAGGGCCCTCTGTTGAAAGCAACCTGCTCCCATTCCTGTTTGAGCCTGGATTTTGTCAGGCTCAGCGTCCCTGAGGACAACTGCCATGGTGGGATGTGGAGTGACAGGTGGTCATTTCAACTGTTCGTTCCTAATCCATTTCAGGCTTTGAAGATAAACATCGGTATCTTGAAACAGCTCCAGAAGCATACACAGTCTGTTGCCTGGTCCACACTAACCCCCCACTTCGGACTAAGGTACGCAAATTCAGCTACGTTAATAACATAGCTGAATTCGAAGTACCTTAGTCCGAACTTACCGCGGGTCCAGATGCGGCAGGGAGGCTCCCCCATCGATGCCGCGTACTCCTCTCGCCGAGCTGGAGTACCGGCGTCGACGGCGAGCACTTCCGGGATTGATCCGGGATCGATTTATTGCGTCTTAACCAGACGCGATAAATCGATCCCAGAACATCGATTGCCTGCCACCGGACCCAGAGGTAAGCGTAGACGTACCCTGTGTGTAGTGCTCATATCAGTTTGTCCTACCTTGCAGGCAGACAGCTGCAGGATGAACCTACCATCGTTTGAGTCATCTTCAGAGTGCACTGCAATAGCTCAGCCCTGAGGTGACAAAAGCATGGCTCGCTGTGGCTAAGCCTACCTCTGTGAAGTTAGCATGTAATCGGTCTCCCAGTCACAGCTGGTCATGGCTGCGATCTGAGCCTCCATGAGCAGTGCAAAAGAACTGAGAGGTTGCATGCCATCTTGTAATGGGAGAGATGATGTTCTCTACGAAATGGGCATACGCAGCTCCAGGAAGAGCCTCAAAATACTTCACCCTTTCTACTGGCATTAACTAACTATCCTCAACTGAGCTCAGTAGTGTCTACACTGGATAAGGAGACAAAGCTAGGTGTCAGCAGTATATCAATGGCACTTCAGTACCATCTGTCATGGAGTCCCCGGGCGATGCTCTGGAACTGCTCCCCACAAAGCCAGTCAGGACTTTGGGGAGCCTCCTCTCTCTTGGAGGAGACTGTCTTCAGGGCAAGAAGCTTACACGGCTTCACCTTCCTGGGTCTCTCCTTGGAGCATTCAGTATATGCCCCTCCGTGTGCTTCCCACAGCGAGTCCGCCCAGGCGGGGTCCTGGGGAAGCCAGAGGGTCCTGCATGCACCCCCACTTCGCAGTCAGACGTGATTCTCAGCCAGCCAGAGAAACAAAGGTTTATTAGATGACAGGAACACGGTCTAAAACAGAGCCTGTAGGTACAACGAACAGGACCCCTCAGCCAGGTCCATTCTGGGGCCCAGCGAACCAGATAACCCCGTCTGCTCTCACTTCTCGTCCCCAGCCAGCTCCCAACTGAAACCCTCTCCAGCCCCTCCTTTCTGGCCTTTGTCTCTTTCCCGGGCCAGGTCACCTGATCTCTTTGTTCACCTTTAGCTATCCCCTTAAGGGGGGAAGGGCCCTGGCCATTTGTTGCTAGGAGACAGATTGTCAGCCATTTATGCACACTAGAGACTTAAGAAATGCATAGGGGAAACTGAGGCACCCACACAGTATTCAGAGGAAACATTAAGAACAGTCCCACTTCGTCACACCATCAACCTTAATTCAGCCCCCGCCGTGAATATGCATTATAATGCAGTCTTTAATTACGTGATAGCCGCCTCATTCACCACATGCCTTTCAAATGTCTGCACAAATGAGGTAGAGGTCCTACAGACAACAGTCACCTTCTCTACACAACCCTGATTCATTCCCAGAGCATTGTCAATCCCTGTGCATTAAATGAGGTAGGAATCCTGTGAAAAAAAAAATACTATGTGATCATGTAATTAAAGAATGTATAGTATAAAGTATCTATGCAAGAGGGTCTAATTCAGATTTCACAAGCAACCTCAATGCGGGCATTCCTTACCAACTGATTGCTTGACTTTGAAACCTTAATGTTAATTTAATGTGGCTTTTATATGTAATTTCCTGGTTTTTTTAAACTTAAAAATTGAAAACAAAACCAAAAATTCCACCATATAGAATCACACTGACTCACACACGAGTCAACAGCAGAGTTAGGATCTTTAGACCCATAGCGCAGTCCTCTACCACTCAAGCTAATTGAAATAACTAGTAGCAGAAGGCGGCTAATATCTTCTATGGGGACATGCCTCTGGAGGGGGAAGGAGACACACTTTGCCAGTAAGTTTCACAGCTAGTTGCCAGACAGCAAAGGAATGATGAATCTCAGCAATAATGGGTTCAGTTCCAGGTTTGGTAGGGGATTGTGCTCTAGAGATAAGAAACCCTTCTGCCCCGGTCCCCTCAGCCTTTCCCTGTCCTCCTCTTCTCCTATTCCCCCTTCCCCAGTAACTGCCTCTGTACCTCGATGCTATTTCCTCTCCTGCAGGTCCTGGATGTCGACAACCTTGCTCCTATACTTCCCCACACACTCAGCTCCTGTTCTTTCCATCCTGCTCCCCACTCTCCCCCCTTCCCCATCTGCTCTTATCATTCCTCACCTCTCCTGGGGCTCCCGCTCCTAATTCCCTTCCACCCAGGCTCCTGCCCTTGTCCCCTAGCTCTGCATCTCTTCCAACTTGTCCCTTTGTTCTTCACTACTCTGCATCTGAGTCAGGCTGTTTCTGCTAGGGTGCCAGTAGGGAAAGCAACACTGAGAACAAAGGAAAGACATCTTAGTTCCTATGCCTTGCAGCACAAAGAGTCCCTGCTAGGAGCAGCTGCAGGGAAAGTCCTGCTCAGTCTCTGTTGCCCTGTGGGGATGGTAGATGCACCATCTGGTCAGCACATAGAATCTGTGAGGAGCTGGAACCATTTTAATATAGCTAAATGTAGACGTGGACATCTGGGAACAAAGAATGTAGGTCATATTTACAGGCTAGGGGACACTATCATGGGAACCAGTGACTAAAAAAAAAGATTTGGGGGTCGTGGTGGCTAATCAGCTGCACATGAGCTTCCAGCATGATGCAGTGGCCAAAAAGGCTAATGTGATCCTTGGATACACAAACAGGGGTAGAAGTAGAGAGGTTATTTCACCTCTCTATTTGGCACTGGTGTGACCGAAGCTGGAATCCTGTGTCCAGTTCTGGTGCCCACAATTCAGGAATGATGTCCCTAGCCTCTGTTTGCCAGAAGTTGGGAATGGGCAATAGGGGATGGATCACTTGATGATTCCCTGTTCTGTTCATTCCCTCTGAAGCACCTGGCATTGGCCACTATCGGAAGACAGGATACTGGGCTAGATGGACCTTTGGTCTGACCCAGTGCGGCCTTTCTTATGATGTTGATAAATTGGAGAGGGTTTAAAGAAGAGCCATGTGAATGATTAAAGGATTAGAAAACATGCCTATCGTGATAGACTCCAGGAGTTTAATCTATTTATCTTAACAAAGAAAAGGTTACGGGGTAACTTGATTATAAGTCTATAGACTTATAAGTCTATAAGTACCTACATGGGGAACAAATAGAGCTGTTAAGCGATTAAAAAAATTAATCGCGATTAATTGCATGATTAACAGAGCTGTTCAACAATAGAATACCATTTATTTAAATATTGTTAGATGTTTTCTACATTTTCAAGTATATTGATTTCTTTTACAACAGAATACGAAGTGTACAGAGCTCAACTTATATTTATTTTTGATTACAAATGTTTGCACAGTAAAAAAAACAACAAAATATTATTTTTCAATTCACCTAATAAAAGTACTGTAGTGCAACTGCTTTATCATGAAAGTGAATTTACAAATGTAGAATTATATACAAAAAAATAACTGAATTTAAAAATAAAACAATGTAAAACTTTAGAGCCTACAAGTCCACTCAGTCATACTTCAGCAAATCGCTCAGACAAAAGTTTGGTTACAATTTGCAGGAGATAATGCTGTCCACTTTTTGTTTACAATGTCACCTGAAAGTGAGAAAAGGCGTTCACATAGCACTGTTGTAGCCGGCATCGCAAGGTATTTACGTGCCATATGCGCTAAAGATTCATATGTCCCTTCATGCTTCAACCACCATTCCGGAGGACACGCATCCACACTGATGATGGGTTCTGCTCGATAACGATCCAAAGCAGAGTGGACCAACACGTGTTCATTTTCATCATCTAACAAAGATGCTACCAGCAGAAAGTTGATTTTCTTTTTTGGTGGTTCAGATTCTGTAGTTTCCGCATCTGAGTGTTGCTCTTTTAAGACTTCTGAAAGCATGCGCCACACCTCATCCCTCTCAGATTTTGGACAGCCCTTCAGATTCTTAAACCTTGGGTCATTCTGTAGCTATCTTTAGAAATCTCACATTGGTACCTTCTTTGCATTTTGTCAAATCTGCAGTGACAGCGTTCTTAAAATGAACATGCGCTGGGTCATCATCTGAGACTGCTACAACATGAAATATATTGCAGAATGCAGGTAAAACAGAACAGGAGACATACAATTCTCCCCCAAGGAGTTCAGTCACAAATTTTTTTAACGAGCATCATCAACATGTCCTCTGGAATGGTGGCCAGAGCATGAAGGGGCATATGAATAGTTAGCATATCTGGCACGTAAATACCTTGCAACGCCGTCTACAAAAGTGCCATGTGAATGCCTGTTCTCACTTTCAGGTGACGACGTAAATAAGAAGCAGGCAGCAGTATCTCCCGTATATATAAACAAACCTGTTTGTCTTAGCAATTGGCTGAACTAGAAGTAGGACTGAGTGGACTTGTAGGCTCTAAAGTTTTACATTGTTTTGTTTTTGAATGCAGTTACGGAATAAAAAAACTTCTACATTTGTAAATTACACTTTCACAATAAAGGGATTGCACTATAGTACTTGTATGAGGTGAACTGGAAAATACCAATTCTTTTGTTTATCATTTTTACAGTGCAAATATTTGTAATAAAAAATAATATAAAGTGAGCACTGTACACTTTGTATTCGGTGTTGTAATTGAACTCAAGATATTTGAAAATGTAGAAAAACATCAAAAAATATTTAATAAATGTCAGTTGGTATTCTATTGTTTAACAGTGCGATTAATCGCAATTAATTTTTTTAACCGCAATTAATTTTTTAAAATAATCGCATGAGTTAACTGTGATTAATCAACAGCCCTAGGAACAAATATTTAGTAATGGGCTCTTCAAAGTTAGCAGAAAAAGGTATAACACGATCCAGTGGCTGGAAGCTGAAGTTAGACAAATCCAGACAGGAAATAAGGCATAAATTTTTATCTATGAGAATAATTAGCTATGGGAACAATTTACCAGGGGTCACGGTGGATTCTCCATCACTGACCATTTTTAAATCAAGATTGGATATTTTTCTAAAGCATCTGCTCTAGGAATTATTTGGTGAAATTCTACAGCCAGTGCTACATAGGAAGTCAGACTAGATGATCACAATGGTCATTATTGGCCTTAGACTATGAGCATGCTCAATACAGACAGAATCTTCAGAAAATTTAGCTGACAAACCAACCTCTACTGAACTTGTGCAAACTCCGATTTTTCAGGTGCTTATAACTTGTCCAAATTTGGACATATTTTCATAGGAATGGAAAGGGCACATCTCTAACACTTGGGAGACATCCCTGCCAAATTTCAAGTCCCTGCTCCAAAGCCTGAAGGTGCTAGAGCTTTTTTCTTCAATGGTTGTAAGATTTTGTTTTTTTACATGGGCAAAACAACTTATTTTCCCCTAATCTAATTTTTGGAAATGGGTGGACCACCGTAGCTGAAAATTCTCCCAAAAATTCAATCTGAGTCAGACACTCATCATGGAAATTTTCTGGTTTAAGTTTGGCCAAGATATAAGAAAACTGGAAATAGGGTCTTATACTGGAAACTGTTGGGCAACTTTAACTACAGATGTTGCTACATGCACCGCCTATAAAATATGTAAGATATCTGGTACAGCCTTTTTATCTCAGATAAACTGTTCAATACAAACATACCAGATTGTTGACTATTTTTATTTTCTTTCTTCCTCCTTTCTGCTCATCTGTTAACCTCTTCTCGTACTGAAGGGAGAGTGTTGATAAACGTTTTGCCTGTAAGGACAGCATTAAAAGGCTTTAGTTTATTTTGTTCCTGTCCCCTCCCCTTCTTGTCATTTTCTATAATAAAGGTAGTTAATCCCCCACAGTGACATCACTCCAAGGAGACAAAGCAAATCATGACAAACTGTCAATGAAGCATATAAATTTGGGTTTCTGGAAAGGCACTCGCCTACTGGATGATTCAGAAGACAGTGAATGAAGCAGAGGAACAAAGAAATAAGATATGGGGCAGTTCAGAGAGGAAGAACACATTCATTTGAATGTGTGGAATGGCCTAACTAGAAAATGATGTTGGCATTACAGTGGGTGAGTGAGGCAGAGGCCACTCTTTTGTTCCTTCCTACTTCCTCCAGAGATCCTCATATCAAAGAACTATAGAAATTAGAGATAAACCTAACCTGTGGAGATTGCTCTCTGTAAGGCAATCTTATTTTTTATTTTGAAATGACCATTGTATGCAAAACGAATTCAAAATATTCCCTGTATAGACATCTTTTACAATGCAGAGAGAGAACTGGACAACTCGCTGACAAAGCACTGCAAAAGTTCACATCAAGAGAAACTGTGTTCCTTCCTTAATGGTTTAGCTTTCTTTCCCTCCCAAGGACTATTCTGTGCCCACAAAGGTTATGAGGGCAAATCTGGCCTTAAGAGAACTGAGTTTTAAGGAATACCAACAAGTCATGCCTTAATCCAGGCTATGAAGAGTCTTTATCCAGTTATATTTCCAGCGTTTCATAAAGCAGACTGTAGAGTACTGGGTCATGAATCTGCTGTGATGAAAACTGTAAGCATATGTAATTCTTAATATACTGATCCTTTTCAACATTTTGAATTTATTTTATTTATTCAGAAGACAATAGTTTATTATAAACTGAACCTTAAGGCAGATGGTTGAAAATTCAAATAAGGCTTTTTTTTAAATCTTTTTTTTTTTAAATCAAAGATTTCAACAGATAAATCAGACAAGGACACTGCCTAGCATATTAAAATGCAGTCATGCAGAAACTTTACCTTTCCAAGTCAGTCAGAACAGCATTAGGTGACAATGGTAAAAACACTGATGGCAGCTCTACTCCTAGAGCTCTCACCAGTGCTAGCAGAGGGTGAGCTGCACTAGTTAAATTTTCCTTAAAATTGTGACTCTAGACAAGGTTCCAGAGGAGAATGTATGTGCTAGGGAAGTGTGGAGAGGGGTACAATATTTTAATTGCAACAGACACTCCCTTAGTAGTATAAGCAGGGTCAAAGATAATGAAAACGCCCATCTGAGCGACACTGATGAAGCAGTGGGAAATCCCCAATTTTTAGGTCTCCACATTCCTTTTGAGAAAGCAGATATATCGAATGACTTATTTTCTCATTGCTTGCCCAAGAAAAGATTAACTTATTGAGAACGTGGCAGACGGTGCATTTTCAGGATGGTGACTAAAAAACAGTTACTCACCTTTTGTAACTGTTGTTCTTCAAGATGTGTTGCTCATGTTCATTCCATTGTAGGGATGCGTACGCCCACGTGCGCGGTCATCGAAGATTTTTGCCTTAGTGGTAGTGTAGCGGAGTGGTCACCCGCTCCTGCCCTGAGGGGTTTAAAACTGCCCTGGAGGAGGGCTGTGGAAGGGCAAGACGCCTGGGCTGATTGGGAGGAAACAGGCTCAGCTGGGGCCATGCCCCAATCAGGGCCCAGCTAGCCCTATAAAGGCTTGAGCCAGGAGCTCAAGCAGAAGGAGTCTCACTCTGACTGGAGAGAGAGACAGGCCTGGCTGCAGTGAACTCACTGGGGACCTAGAGTGAAACAGGGCTGGGGAAAGGCCTTGGGGGCTGGGAAGCCCTAGGCCAGCAACTCCCCAGGCTGCAGGGCCTAGTCCTAGGCCCATATAGGTATTGGGGTTGCAGAGGGGCAACCTGAGGGTGGGTAAAGGCAGCCAGTCCAAAGCCCTTGTTGCCTGTGATGATTGGCTGATAGACTGCAATCCACCCCAGGGCGCAGGGGCTAGACGGTGACTGGCAGTAGCCACGACTGAGGCGATGTGGGGATAGGGGGTGGGGGTTCCACCGGGTGGGGAGTCCCAGAGAGAGTGGGGCACTGCCAGGGGGCAGCACCCAAGCCAAGGGCACCAGGGTCCGGGAGGGACACGGGGGCCAACAGCAAGCTGATCACTGGCCTGCAGAGGGCACTCCTGGGTCGAAGAGCTAATTCCCGAGGACAACCAGCAGGAAGCGCTGCAGGGGTGAGTCTGCGCTGTGCTACAGGTATCCATAGGGCTGGCTGTGTTGTCCCCTTGAGTGCCATGCTCATGCACTGGTATATCAGGCGTTGATGGCCCTACGCCCTTTCTATGCCTTCTTGCCGACAACTCCAACAGAGGGGCAGGAGAGCAGGTAATGGAACAGACATGAGCAACACATCTCAAAGAATAGTTACAAAAAAGTAAGTAACCGTTTTTTCTTCTTCGAGTGCTTGCTTATGTTGATTCCATTGTAGGTGACTCACAAGCAGAATTCTCAGAGGTGGGCTCGGAGTTCACAACCTCGCAGTTTGTAGCACTGCTCTGCCGAAGCCAGCATCTTCTCGAGCTTGCTGGGTCAGCATGTAATGCAATGCGAACGTGTAGACGGACGACCAGGTCGCGGCCTGACGGATCTTGTGGATCAGCGCCTGTGCCAGGAAGGCTGCCGATGACGCCTGAGCCAGCTCATAGCAGTGGTGGATACAGGCTGTGATCCAGGACGAGCTTCTTAGTGGACACTGGGTGACCTTTCATCCTATCTGCCATGAACAGCTGTGTCAACTTACAGAACGGCTTTGTTCTATTTATGTAGAAAGCCAGCACCCTTCTGATGTCCAGGGTGTGTAGACTCCACTTCTCATCTGATGCATGAAGCTTAGGACAAAGGACTGGTAGATATATATCCTGGCCAGTATGAAACTAGGTCATGACCTCAGTCAAAAACACCAGGTGCAGCTGAAGAAGTTGTAGTCCTTGAACACAACCATATAGGGCGGTTCTGAAGTGAGCATCCTGATCTCTGATACCCTACAGGCCAACGTTATAGCGACCAAAAAAGAAACCTTCCAGGAGAAGAGTAGGAGGGAGCAGGAGCCAAGGGTTCGAAGGGGGGACCCATGAGCCTGGACAGCACGAGATTCAGGTCCCACAGTGGGACCGGCTCCCGGACGTATGGGTAGAGGCCCTCCAGCCCTTTCAAGAACCACACCGTCATGGGGTGGGCAAAGAGGGACCTGCCCTGAACCGGGGGATGTAACGCCAAGATGGCTGCCAGGTGGACCTTGACAGAAGAGCAGGACAACCCTTGAAGCTTAAGATGCAGCAAGTAGTCCACCAGGATGTCCTGCAGCGAAGCCTGCTCGGCCCGAAAGCACTGTTCCGAGGCCCAATACTCGAACCTTTTCCATTTTGCCAGGTAGGTTGCCCTGGTCGAGGGTTTCCTGATGTCAAGAAAAACTTGCTGAACATGAGCCAAACAAGCTTTTTCATCCACGCTCAGCCATGCAACTGCCAAGCAGTGCCGCCAGGTTCAGATGCAGCAAGTTGCCTTGGTTCTGCGACAGCTGCTCTGGTTGAAGCAGTGGAAGAGGGGCAGCTACCGAAAGATCCAACAGCATGCCGAACCAGTATTGACGGGGCCATGAGGATAACTCTCGCCCTGTCCAGCTTGACTTTCACCAGGACCCTGTTGATCAATGGTACCAGTGGAAAGGCATACGTGAAACCCCTGGATGGAGCGGAACTGGTGGCACTTCCTGTTCTGCCTGGACGCAAACATGTCCACCTGGGGAGTTCTCCACCTTTGGAAAATTACATGGACCACCTCCGGATGGAGGGACCACTCGTGGCAAGACGAGAAGGTCCCGCTGAGGCGATCTGCTAGGATGTTCTTGGAGCCAGGTAGATGGGTGATCAGATGAATTGCATGCCACACACAGAAGTTCCGAAGGCTGAGCGCTTCCTGACACAGGGCTGAGGATCTGGCCCCACCTGCCTGTTGATGTAATACATCGCGGCGGTATTGTCTGTGAGGACCTGCACAACCTTGCCCTTTAGTTGGGGCAAGAACACCTGGCGGGCCAGGTGAACCGCTCTGAATTCCCTGATATTGATATGAAGGGCTAGATCGTCCTATAGCTCTGGGTGCCAAGTTCGCCCAAGTGGGCTCCGCAGGCCAGATTCGAGGTGTTGGAGACCAGAGTCAGCGACAGGAATGGCGATGCAAAGGGGACCCCCTGCAGCACCGACTTGGGGTCCAGCCACCAATTCAGGGACAAAAGAGCCAGTCATCAAGGTATGGAAACAGGTGTCCCCCCTTTCCTCCCCTCCCCCCCCCCCAACGCCTCAGGTAAGCAGCCACCAGCGCCATGCACTTCGTGAACACCCTCAGGGCCGAAGAGAGGCCAAAGGGTAGCGTCGTGAACTGGAAATGGTGCCCTCCTACTACAAAACGGAGGAAACACCTGTGCCCCGGGAATATAGAAATAAGCGTTTTTCAAGTCGAGAGCGGCATACCAGTCTCACGGATCCAGGGAAGGAATGATGGAGGCCAGGGAGACCATGCGAAACTTCAACTTCTTGAGAGACTTGTTGAGGCGGCGCAGGTCCAGGATGGGTCTGAGGCCCCCTTTCGGGATTAGGAAGTACCAGAAATAGAACCCCTTTCCTTTCATGTTCCGAGGAACCTCCTTCACAGCCGCCAGACACAGAAGGTTGGCGACCTCCCGAACAAGGAGTTGCTCGTCAGAAGGGTCCCTGAAGAGGGACGGGAAAGTGGGGATGGGAGGGGGGAAGAGGAGGAGGATTTGCAGGGTATAGCCCCAAGCTATTATGTCCAGGACCCAACAGTCCGACGTAACCCGCAAGCAGGCCAAGAGGTAGGGAAAAAGGAGGTTGAGGAAAAGCAGCAGCAGATCCGAGGAATTGGCTTGGGCATCGCTCTTGATCGCGCCATCAAAATGGGCGCTTCTGCCCTGCCGAATGTTTAGCTTGGCTAGGCTGCGCAGGTGAGCGGGAGGCAGAAGGGCAGCAACGATCAAATGTAGTGTCCCTGTCCCTTCTCCTGACAGGTCCAGAATGAGATTGCCACGACCTTGGTGGTGGGGGCAGCTGGAACAGCTTACTGCAGCATGTGTGCCCAGCGAACGGAGGGTGGCTTTGGTGTCTTTCACCCCATGTAGCCTCGCACCCGTTTGTTCAGAAAACAGACTGTTCCCATCAAAAGGAAGGTCTTGAATGGAGGTCTGCATCTCCTGGGAGAGCCCAGCAGTTTGAAGTCAGGAGCTGTGTGTCATCACCACCATGGATGCCACCACCCCGGACGCCAAGTCCGCCACATCCCACGCAATCTGCAGGGCACAGAGGGCCGCTGAAGTGCCCTCCTGCACCAGGGTGATGAATTCCTGGGCCCAATAGGTGGACCAGCACCTCCCTCTTGGCGAGCTGCATCGAGATGACAGCGACCGTGACCATGGAGCTGGTGACCAACAATAAGTCCCCACTGATCTCAACGATGGCACTGGCAACCGGCCGTATGGAGGTGGAGAGCGCACCATCATCTCGAGGGATCAGTGGCACTCCACCGCTCTCTAGGGAGCCTTGTCGACTGGCTTGCCCTCTTGGGGATCCTTAGCCAAGATCTGTGCTCCTTCGACACCTGGGCTCTTGAAGGCATTGGTGCTGGCAGGGGAGTCGGTCCAGTCCCACTTGCAGGAGTCGGAGAAGGACCTTTCAGTGGGCTGACGGCCCCGACCGGAGAGGGCCAACTGCGGGGGTCCAGGGTAGGCAGGCAGCTTGGGGCAGGCTCTTTGCTTACTACTAACTGGCCCTTTTTTGTCAGCGCCAGGGAGCCATGCTTCTTAGCCCTCTTCTGGAACCAGCGACGCAGAGCGGTGACAAGTGGGCCCCAGTGCTGGTGGCGCACTTTGCACCAATGCTGAGGTGTTGGGAGACTCATGGCGGGACAGCTCAGACGCTGGGCAGACTCCATAAGGAGGGCTCTGAGCCTGATGCGTCTCTCCTTTTGCATGCAAGGCCGAAAGTTTTTAACAAATCTGGCACCTCTCTAATGTGTGCTTCCCCAGGCACTTGAGACAGCTACCGTGGGGGTCGCTAACAGGCATAGGCCTGTTACAGGATTCACAGGGCTTAAAGCCCGGAGACCAGGGCATGCCCCGCTGGGACCAAAGTCCGCACTGGGACCTAACTACTAACACTAACTACTGCAAACAAACAAGTACTTAACACTAAAAATAACTCTGTAGACAGCCTAAAGGCACAAAGTCCACGGTAAGAAAACCAAAAGTCCTTGATGAGCAAGGAAAGGCGCTCTGACTGACCACCACGGGCGGTAAGAAGGAATTGAGAGGGCATAGGACCGGGCAGCACCTGATATATCAGTGCATGAGCGCAGCACTCAAGGGGGGGCGGGGGGTGACACAACCGGCCCTATGGATACCGCTAAGGCAAAAATCTCTGATGACCGCGCACGTGGGCGTGTGCACATCTACAATGGAATCGATATGAGCAAGCACTCCCAGAAGAAAATATTTGCATATTCAGCAGGGTACTAATACAATCCTGCCCGCTTGTGTATGATTGCTGAATATTTACTGTGTCATTCACCAAGATCTTTGTTCAGAGTTGTTTTTCAGATTTAAATTTAGAAGAGAAAAATACCCTCAAGCTATGTTGGGTTTAAGAACCGGCCATTGATGTTCTTCTCTTTCAGAACTGCAATTCTCATTGCCTAGTGATGCTCAAAGCTGTGCGAGTTTGAGCAGGATAAACACAACGACTCTATGGCTTTTTAATTAACGTGATTTAAGTAATGCTGTGTTACAGAATGAGAAATAAGGATACAGCCAGTAATGAATCAATCTGGTTCAGTTGAAGGGGTCTTATCCCCCCCGACTGGCAAATGGCACCCCATATTGACCAACTCTGTGCACAAGATATAACCCTGAAAGCAATATTTCATAAGAGACATCTCAGTGTTAAAGAAAACTGATTAGCAGGAACAGTAAAATTATTCCTTCGTGTAATGGAGTCAGGGGCCATATTGAGACAGGAAACCAGGCTACTCCAACGTAACTCCATTACTAATTGCAAAAAATTCATTTCTGGAACAGCAGGAGGAAACCAGCCTGATCAGAAATGTATCATTTCACTTAGACCTCCCAGTTAGAGACTATTCTCTCTCTAGAAGAGGTCTAAGGAAAAGCAGTAGCATAGAAGACGCTTACTAACCCTACTGTGCCATGGCATTGCAGGGCTTCTGTGGCTCAATGATAAGGTACTTCTATCTGTGCAGTGTGGGCTCTGAGAGCCACAGAGTCCACTTCCCATTCGAATGCTGCTCTACATGCAGATAAAAATTCAAAAGGAGTTCCAGTTTCCCTGTAATACATCTTCACATTCCAACAGCTACAGTGAATGTCCACCATGAGGTTCTGCATATATAGCAACCTCTTTTTGAGGACTCCTCAGCCCTAAAAGTATAATGCTAACTTCTGGCAATCTGTCTTTCACCTATAGCAGTAATAACTTCATTATTAGCACCAATGTGAATGTGTAGGTCACATACTAGAAGGTGACAGGGTGCCCTTCTCCAAAGAGAAGCTATTACTCAAGCTCATCCCGAGACCTTTCTTGTTAATGGTGGTGAATTACAAGGTATTTTTTGGAAGGGAGTTGGATCCAGTGCCCATAAGTTGTCAACCAAACATTTAATTTTAGGATCAGTAGTTCAAATCAAACCTACATACTGCTCTTCTGTACGTGATCACCAGTACCTTTTCCTCTCCTGGCAAGCGGTCTTCTTCTGCCCCTTCACTGCTCTTCTCATTGTGCTCCAATGCATCCAGGAGCCCAATGGGCTGCCTCCTTGATGAGATCAGCTCTTGATCGTACTCCACACACAGGCTGGTTGCCCCATCCCCCAGCAGCCCTACAACATTAAGACAGAATGTAAACAGACCTGTTACCTACCCTGCAGTAACTGTGGTTTTCCAAGATGTAGGCAGTCAGGGTGGATCCTGCAATAGGTGAGCACATGCCTTACATGCACAAGACTCTCTCTCTCTGACAGAGACTGACTAGTGGTGTCCATTGGAGCTGTATATGGGAACTATGTCTCCTCATGCTCTTATATGAGGGCATAAAACATGAGGCAGCTGCAATCCTCCCTGAGTTCCCTTGCAATTCAAAGCCTGTGTTGCCGAGGAACCTGAAAAGGAGGGATGAAGGGCAGGTCATGGGATGCAAAGGGAATGCCATGGGATTTCAAAGAACCAGAAAAGTTAATGAGTTGCTCTACACAGTTGCCTTGCAGAACTCAGACTAGCACATTCCTCAAGCAGACAGATATTGCTGCCTGCGCTCTGGTGAAATGTGCCTTGATGTTCAGTTGCTTGCTTGAGGACAGGGAGAATGTATGGCCTTGGTGATGGTGAGGAGCATAACTTCCTTAGGGCTGATGCTTACGTATAAGCTGCTTTCAGTACTGGAGTCTGTGCCGATGGATAGCTCACCACTGACAATGGGCCTGGTTCAACCTGAGCCTCATCCCACAAGGACAGGATTGACACCAATGGTACGGCCATCATTGCCAGGAGAATCTGATCTCTCTCTCCATCCCTCGATACTGTGAGTGGCTTGGAAGGCTTTTCCCCAGAGGTCCTGCTGTGCCTGTCTGTGTGGGAGGATGCTGTGTGGGAGGGCTTTAAGCTTCTGCTCCAGTACTCAAAGTGGCCACTTCCAGTGCTCGACTTCAGTGTTTGAGATGTTGGTGCCAGCTTTGTCGTCAAAGCAGAGGTCAACTTTGGTGCTGGTGCTCGGTGACAGGCCTTTTCTTGGTGGCGTATTCTCCATGGTAGACTGTCACCTGTCTGATTGATGGGGTGCTAAATGATGCTGGTTTGTTCAGTAGGAAGCTTCTGGAGGTTGCCTCTGGATCTGAAGTCTGGGCCCAGAAGGTGGAGTTTCAACCTCACATCTCATGATTTGTGAGGTGTCCAGACTAAGCACCCTCAGCACCTGCTCAGAACATGAGATTCTTCCAAGCAGAAAATGACATTTACTGTGCCTGTCCTTAAGGGGAATTAGTCCATAGCAGGATGGACAGGGTTAGAAGCCTGCAGATTTTGAATCCACCGCTACAGAAACACAGTACGGTGGGGCTGAGGTGGGGGAAGGGGAGGGTTGGACAGAGCATCTGTAAGGGGTGTCTGAGAAGAGGTGTTTGGTTCTATCATAGTAATCAGTCCACAGTGGTTGAAATTGAAGATGAGAAGTGGTTTTGAAGATTTTCAGAACCAGAAGTAATTTTTCCTGACTTAAGAACTAGTGGGTCAAACACTCACTGGTTTCCATCTCACTGTTACGGGCGGTAAGAGGGAAGTGAAGCAGCGTGGCAGTCACCCTGCCCTTTATGCCCTTCTATGGAATATGAGGCAGCTCAGTGGAATCCCTGTGCAGCTCTGACAGACACTGCATAACATATCTGGTCCCTACAGTGGGATCAACACTGACACATACTTCAAGAAGAAATTTACATACCTCCTCCTCCTCTTACATGCCTGGCGACATGCCAATGTTTCCAATAACTCTGATGGATTCTACAGGATTTCCTACCAAACATCCCTGCTAACCTCCATGTGGCAACCCAGTAGTATGTGCTGGTTTCTCTCATCCTTTGTCTCTCTTGCAGTGGAACCGCACTGAACAACTGAGTCAACAAAAGTCAGTTTAGCTGATCTTTTCCAACTTGGCGACTTTATACGTGTAATTCTGATTTCTGTATTTCAAGGATGGTCTGGGAAAAGCTTGAATAAACTCAAAACAGTTTACACCGAGTGATCTTCAGAAAGTGATCTTCTGAAGTGATCTTCAGATCTTACTGCCACTCTTACTATCAAAGTTATTTGTGTTTAAACACTGTGGGTCTCTGAATCGCCCTCAGAGCCCAATTCCTGCAGTGACGTCCGTGTAATTAACTTTTGACATGGCACAAGACTAATATCAACACACATACTTTCTGTGGTGTTACAGAAGACTTTTTTTTTTAACTTGTTAAAGTGAGACTATGAGCTACTATTAGCCACGTATACTACTCTACTAGACAATCACCTCACTGAGCTTATGAAGTGCTTATCATTACATGTACCAAACTGACATCTTATTGCCATTTATTCAAGCTGCTTGTCCATGAAATATATTCTCATCCTTTAGGGCCTAGTTGTGTCTGTCTGTAGATACTTTAACCCTACAGTTCCAGGTTCTGGCAACATCAGCTTGATGCTTCTAAAAAGGCATTCTCCCCACACACAAAAAATCACCTATTCCTCTTTAGCTTGTGAGACTACCTACCTTTGTGTGTCAGTTACTAAGTAGAGTAGCAAAATATTTTTACTTCTGGCAAAACAATCAGACAAAGTTGTATGCAGAGTTGTTGTAGCCATGCTGGTCCTAGTATATTAGAAAAACAAGGTGGGTGAGGTAATGTCTTTTACTGGACCAACTTCTGTTGGTGAGAGAAAAACTTTTGAGATTACACAGTGGCCTGAAGAAGAGCTCTGTGTAATCTCAAAAAGACCAACAGAAGTTGGTCCAATAAAAGGTATTACCTCACCCATCTTGTCTCTCTAATCAGAAAGTATCAGGAAAGCAAGATTAATTTCTAAGAACACCAATTGGCTTGGAGACCATATCTATTGTGCAATGAAACACTGTCAAATTCAGGAATGGCAGGTAGCCCACAACAGAACAGTCTGTTCTAGTTTCTTTGGCATGAAAAATATTTTACCTTCGACATCAGTTAAGCTCAATTTTTTAGGTCATTGGTTCACTTGATGTCAATGCCCTCGTTTTGTTTTCTGAGCTGTAGCAATGTACAGGACTATTATTGAACAAAATGGGAGATGGGGTATGTAGTTAACAGCATTTAGCCTCTTTATTAGGAGGATTTCAAATACTTTACAAAGGTGAATAAATCACCACCCCCATTTTGTAGATGGAAAAATGGAGGCAGGGTGTCAGATAGCAAGCGTGTGGCAGAGCCAGGATCAGAACCCAAGCCTTCTGACTTCTCGTCGCCTATTCTAATCAGCAGACTATGCTGCCTTCCAGAACAGTCAGCCTTTGTCAGAATTCAAGTCATACCAAATATATCCATGATAAAATTCAACTTGTTGAAGCCCCAGATGCTCAAGGCTGTTCAAAACCACCAAAATATTTCCTGTGGGGTAACTCTCTGACATTCCCGCCACCTGGACATCTCAGCGGCCAGCCAGATTTTCTTTTTTGTCAATTCCATTTTAGAACCCTTAAAAGAAACATCCTCAGATACCTGTACCAATGGAGCAGGGGGATGGCATGTGTTTAGTCACAGTGAAAGCTGAGTCATACAGCTAGAAAATTTGAGATGTTTGGAGTTTTTAAATGCAAATAAAAGACTATTTCCTGTCTGCCTGGTTGCCTCCTCTCTCTACCTCCATCTGCTGCCCCCTTTCCATGCATCCCCAGTCTGCTGTCATCTCATGCACCTTGGTACCCAACCCACTCCATACCCATCAGTCTCTTCCTTCCAGTCTTTCCATTCTCCCATGTGGTTCCCCAGTCCTCTACGGTTAGTCTATATCCCTTTTGATTCTTGGCCCTCCTCGGTTTAACCCTTCCTGGATTCTTGCCCCTCTGCATTTCCTAGTCTCCCTGCTCCACCTCTGGCTTGGCCCAGAATTTTTGGATTTAAAAAAAAAAATCTTCAGTGTATGTATTTTCCTATAACATAAGGAAGACACAATTGTAAACAATATAGAAATGCAAACACCCAGACTTACCCATTCGCTTCCTCTTCAAACTAGGAACATGGTCATCTAAATTCTTGGCTTTTGTCCTGGAGAGGGGCTGCTCAGATGACGTGGATGATGTCGGGTCCCCTTCACATATGGTGCTAGGGCAGGAGCTCCGTGTTGGGGGTGGGGGCATCTGCACAAAGACTGGAAAATGTTATACTAGGCAAACACTACTGTTCCACTTCAAAGGCTGAACGTTTTTCAATGAAAGAACCCAAGAGCAAAGCTGAAGATAAACTAAATTTTGATCGTGAATTTTGAGAGGTCTGAACACATATGCACCTGAGATGCAACTGAATAATTAGAAATTAGCATGGGCAGATTAATTGGAGATGGGGAGGTTCAGCACAGAAAGACGCAGGTGGAACAGAGGGATCATGCAGCTGTAAAGGGATGTCAGAGTGGGAAGCATCACACAAAATCTTGATGATGTTCTCTCTGCAATGCAGCCCCTTCTGATACAGATGCACTATCCTTTGGCCCCCCTTTACAATGAGACCGTTCTCTTTTGAAACCCCCTAAGTGCATGAGAATTATAAACTCAATTTCAGGCTCACACCTCTCTCACACACAGATACTGACACAAAGTACCCTGCCACCTTTATTCTGTATTCTTTTGACAGCACCATCTTAGTCCTCAACTTCAAAATCCTTTTGTCTATCAGCCGTGCCTCCCTATAGCATGAAAACTGTATTGTACTAGTGAATCAAAGAGCTCCCTAATGCCAAGGCAGAAGCCAAAGTATTAAAGATGTCCTAGTACCAAATGGGCAAATGATAGGATGATTTCTGGCCTGTGCTATTAACCGCTGCTGCTTCTCATTTTACATACCAGCCAGCTTGGACGTAAAGAATTTGAGAGTCTGATCAATTTTTCCATGTCCTCTCCATGTGGGTGACGAGGGGAGTTTTAGGAAATATATATCATCAGTTTCACTCCCTCATTTTATATACCAGACCAAACCAACTTGTGTTTAGGGGCAGGCTGGATAAGAGGAAGACAAGAGAAGAGTCTTTTCCTTTGAAATCTAGCCCAAAAGGCCCTGTAGCTTGGTGACACATTCCCTGGGAGGGATGACCCTCAGAATCCCCCAGTGCAGCTCAGAGTCTTGAGTAAAGGAGATCACTTAAGAATGATGAGACTCTCTGCCCAGCCCTCCTATGGCTGAGTGCGCCTAGTTCCTGACACCCTTGGACAAAAACTCCTCCTTTGTCTGACAATACCTACGATTTTTTGAGCAATACGGAAGAACTGGGAGACCTCTCTGACTGCATGCCCGAAGTTGTTGTAAACCTTGACATAAGGGCGGACCCAGGAGGGCAGCTGGGATCTTACATCATTGTTCACGAACCTGTGGAGAATTGGAAAATAGGAGAAAAATCCCTCAAATAGCTCCACTAAATTAATCTCTCAGCAGAAGGCAGCTTTCAACATCTCACCTGAGGAGCTGGAACAGGGACGAGAGTGAAGTCTTAAGCGCATATGTAGATACTGTCCTCAACATGACAAATTCAATTTCATAGTAAGACTATGCCCCTACTCCTGGGAACGCCAAGTAAGGAACCAAGGAGCTAAGCCAGAACAGTAAGAACAAGCAGCTGGGTAAGAACACAAAAAAACCTGGGATTGATCTTTGTGCCCAGGAGACCAAGAGTTAGCTGGAGCCAGGGTGTTTGTGTCTATCACTACACCTCTGTACTGGACTGCAACACTCCTGCTAGGCACCAGTTATATCATACTATCCAAAACTGACTGGCAGCTGCATAAGGTAGAAAAATGCTCATTAGAGATTGGGCTGAAACCACCAAATTTATTCCTACTTGTGAACACAGACCAGGATTCGTGCCCAGATGTCCAGAAACGAAAGGCTCATTCTAAACCAGTCGTTCTCAAACTTTTGTATTGGTGACCCCTTTCACACAGCAAGCCTTTGAGTGCAACCCTCCTTATAAATTAAAATCCCCTTTTTTATGTTTAAGACTATTATAAATGCTGGAAGTGAAGCGGGGTTTGGGGGTGGAGGCTGACAGTTTGCAACTCCCCACGTAATAACATCACAACCTCCTGAGGGGTCACAAGAGCCAGTTTGATAAGCTCTGTTCTAGACCATTAGTTCTCTGGGTCACCTATCCCATCATCATTAATATCAATCTTGAGATAGTTTATTTTTAAATGAAACTTTATTGTATCCAGAGGTTTCTGGGGGCTAAGTCAGAAATAAACAAAGGAAGAAGCTGTAGGTAGTGCAGAGACCAGATGAAAGGCCTGAGAAACAAAACATTATGGGAAAATGAAAATAACCAGCTTTCTTCAGAAACTGAATGGGAACCATGCAAAGTACAAAGTGGTGATTCAGACTCATTCTCAGGAAAACAAGGAGGCTATGGCATGCTCAGAAGGTTCACGGCATAGCTACCAACACGCAGAATGGTCCAACAAAACTCCTACTCAAGCGGACATGTTTCATGGCAATGGCAGGAATTCACTCGTTTCCCAGAAAAAGGATTCTGGTTAGAAATACAAGTGAGACCATTTTTAGATTTTCTGGCAATATGTAATTTCTTCCTGCACTTCCCTTCAAAACTGCAATTACCGTTCACTGCCTTCTCAAACTTAGTGCGGAGCAGGACTGGAACCTCTGTATTCACGTAACTTGCATTAGCGTTTCAGGAAGTTCTAACTCCTGGCATGAAAAGATTATGTGACAGACCCAGACCAGTGGGATACAGGAGTCTGGTAGAGGGCAAATATACTGGTCACTGGATGAGTAGTTTTCTGTTCCCTGAGTGACCAGAGCAGGGGCTGCACTAGAGTAATCAGGAACCTGCTAGAACCAGTTCAGGCAGGCAGGCTAATTAGGACACCTGGAGCCAATTAAGAAGCTGCTAGAATCAATTAAGGCAGGCTAATCAGGGCACCTGGGTTTTAAAAAAGGAGCTCACTTCAGTTTGTGGTGCAAGT